ACAGCCCAGTGTTCCTCACCAGTTTACAGCCCAGTGTTCCTCACCAGTTTACAGCCCAGTGTTCCTCACCAGTTTACAGCCCAGTGTTCCTCACCAGTTAACACCTGGTACAGGTGTATAGTACTCCAGGTGTTCTTCCTGCAGGTATGTCCACCACTCCAGACCTGAATCTTGATTCCACAGCATAGAAGGTCTCTGATGTCGTGTCTGTGAATTTAGCCACCTCATGACCCCAGACCAGGTGTGACCACGTACCTGTGTCAGCGTCTTCACCTGTGTGACAGTCTGAGAGCAGACACCTGATCAGATGATGTAACAACTGCTTTAAACAAGTTCAAGTCAAAGCTTTAGTTCAGAGGACTGTCCCCCTTTCTGTCCCCCTGTCTGTCCACCACGTAGTACTGGTGTCTCTGAATATGTTGGTACAGTGTGGTGTATTTGGTGACCCTCCTCATCCTCGGCAGGATGAAGCTGTGAGTGAAGGTCTCTCTGCTCAGAGAGCTCCGCCCCTCTGTCGCCAGGACACTGTTAATGAACCGAAGACAGAAAGTGAAGCAATTATGGTCCTTGTCATCGAACCTGAGAGACAGACAGGGGGACAGGAGACAGATGCTGTTAACAAACTGAAGACAGAAGTTGAAGCAGTTAAAATTCCTCATTGAGCTGTGAGGTCACGGGGTCAGGGGACGGACATGTGGTCAGGGGACGGACACAGGGTCAGGGGGTGGACACAAGGTCATGGGACGGACACAAGGTCAGGGGCGGACATAGGGTCGGGGGATGGAAACAGGGTCAGGGGACGGACATAAGGTCAGAGGAAAGACACGGGGTCAGGGGGTGGACACAAGGTCATGGGACGGACACAAGGTCAGGGGCGGACATAGGGTTGGGGGATGGAAACAGGGTCAGGGGACGGACATAAGGTCAGAGGAAAGACACGGGGTCAGGGGGTGGACACAAGGTCATGGGACGGACACAAGGTCAGGGGCGGACATAGGGTTGGGGGATGGAAACAGGGTCAGGGGACGGACATAAGGTCAGGGGAAAGACACGGGGTCAGGGGGAGGACACAAGGTCATGGGATGGACACAATGCCAGGGGCAGACATAGGGTCGGGGGATGGACAAAAGGTCAGGGGACAGACAGGGGGTCAGGGGACATACACAGGATCGGGACAGACACAGGGGTCAGGAGAGAGACTGGGGTTCAGGGGACGGACACGGAGTCTGGATACTGACACTGGTCAGGGGACAGACACGGGGTCAGGGGACGGACACAAGATCAGGGAATGGACACAGAATCAGGAGACAGACACAGGGTCAGGGGACAGACATGGAGTCAGGGGACAGACACGGGGTCAGGGGACAGACACGAGGTCGGGAAGGACACGGGGCGGGCACAAGCTCAGGGGATGGACATGGGGTCAGGAGACGATCACGGGGTCAGGGGACAGACATGGAGTCAGGGGACAGACATGGGGTCAGGAGACGATCACGGGGTCAGGGGACGGAAACAAGGTCAGGGGAAGGACACGGGGCAGGCACAAGGTCAGGGGATGGAGGTTGGTGCTGGGCGTTACTTTTGTGTCTTTTCTGTCTGTGTGAGGTGTACCTGTTCCAGAAGTGAGGTGTGCCTGCGCCAGGTGTGAGGTGTATCTGTGTTAGGTGTTAGGTGTACCTGTACCTGTACCAGGAGTAGGATTGGGATCTGGATCCGGTTCTTTTTTGGAACCGGGTCCATCACATTTGGAGTAACAGTTCCTGCAAACGGTTCCTAGATTGTAAAAAAAACCCCAAAAACATCACGTGCATTTCCATTAGAGTCCAAACCCGACCGAGCCCGACATTATTTAATGACTAAAGCACTGAGTTTGTGTCACACAGTTGTCATGGTTACAGGCTATTTAACAGGCCGGCGTGCGCTGTGGGTGCTCAGCGGAGAGGGAGACCTCTGTGTTTGAGACGGGAGCGGGCGGCAGGAGGTCCGAGGCTTCCAGTGAGGGGAGCAGTAGAAACAAACAGCCAATGTGTGTGTGTGTGTGTGTGTGTGTTCTGTTCAGGTGTTGTCACGTAAATAACAGTGCCCAAGCATGAATGCATAAGTATTTTTTATTACATTGCTGTGGTTAATTTGAGGTAATAGTGTTATTGTAGAAATCAGAGAATCACTTTTTGTTGCTATATATTCTCAGGGAGATGATACAAGCTCTAAATCTGAAATACACACCACACACAAATGTGTATTTTCATCTAATTGTACTGTGCAACAGTTAGAATAAAGTTTTTGTATTTGTATGATTGCATTTGTGTTTATTATATACTTGTTTAAGTACAGCAAGTATAATGAATATAATGTAGGAATCAGTAAGAGGAATTGATAAGGACTCGAACCGTTAAGAAGGAATCGGTAAGGAATCGGAATCATTAAAATCCTAACGAGTCCCAACCCTAACCAGGAGTGAGGTGTACCTGTTTTAGGTGTGAGTGTTACCTGTTTTAGGTGTGCCTGTGCCAGGTGTTAGGTGTACCTGTACCAGGTGTGAGGTATGCCTGTGCCTGGTGTAAGATGTACCTGTACCAGGTGTGAGGTGTACCTGTGTCTCATGTGAGGTGTACATGTTTCAGGTGTGAGGTGTACTTGTTCCAGAAGCGAGGTGTACTTGTGCCAGGTGCGAGGTGTACCTGTGTCAGTTGTGAGGTGTACCTGTGTCAGGTGTACCTGTACCGGGTGTGAGGTATGCCTGCGCCAGTAGTGAGGTGTACCTGTACCAGGTGTGAGGTGTATCTGTACCAGATTTGAGGTGTCCCTGTGCCAGAGGTGAGGTGTACCCTTTAACCGGTTTGAGGTTTACCTGTACCAGAAGTGAAGTGTACCCGCACCAGGTGTGAGGTGTACCTGTACCAGAAGTGAGGAGTGCCTGCACCAGGTGTGAGGTGTACCTGTGCCATGTGTGAGGTGTACCTGTGTTAGGTGTGAGATGTACCTGTTTCAGAAGTGAGGTGTACCTGTGTTAGGTGTGAGTTGTACCTGTGTTAGGTGTGAGGTGTTGCTGTACCACGTGTGAGGTGTACCTGTGCCAGGCAGGGTCCCACATGGGTCCAACAGAGAAGCGGTCCAGGTACTGGTCCCATTGAGCTAGCAGGTTGAACATGTCGGGTCGGACCAGAGGAACACTGATGCAACGTTCCCACCCACTCTGATCTTTACCAACTCCACCAAGAGTGTAGTTATACACAACTCCTACACACACACACACACACACACACACAAACACACACATACATTAACACGTGTGTTACTTAGGGTGTGTTGCTGATGTGACGATTTATCGTTAATGTTGTTATGGAGCATCAGAGGAAAATAAATCAGACAGATGGTGGGATACGGAGATTAAGGCACTGTACAGGAGAGGCATGTCTGTGTTTGACTAACAGCAGCTGGTGGGTGGAGCTCCACAGGTCACATGATAACAGAGAAAAAGTAAACAGGGTGTTGTTAGTAGCGTCTGAACAAACCAAAGTTTTATCTGCAGCTAAATTTGTATTCTGCTGCTTTATTAACCAGCTCATTAGCATTAGCTAACTATCCAGCCTGACGTTAACAGTGCATGCCGCACTGGGGAGCGTTTGTTTAGTCGCTCGTTACCGAGCTGAGTTAGTGAGATAAAACAGAGAAGTTAGCAGGAAAGCTAACTTTGATGGTTGTTTAAAGTTTGTAGATTTTGCATATCAGCCTGCTGATTAAACAACGTCACAGCTGATCCTAATGTTTAGACCGTGATGGTGTAACCAGAGTAACAGCAAGGTCGTCACATGATCACCAAAGATAATACAGTTCACAGAAGGACAGAGACACAGTGACAGACAGACGGACACACATGACAAACCACTGCAGCTCTACTCACACACAGATGGTGCCATAGAGGCGGGACGACATCATGTCTTTACACAGAACCAAATGACAGTGATATCATGTCGCTCCAGTGTGTGATGTCAGACAGCATGATGACATAATAGACTCAAAATAAGTGTGACATGTAACACAACAATGACATCACGTGTAATAACAATCATGTTGTGTCCCTGTTATATCGCGGCTGATCTTGTCCTCTGCTCGGAGGGTAAGGAGCTCCTGGACTTCATTGTTTGAGTTAGCTGCTAACTGCTAGCAGCTGCTGTTCTTCGTCTTAGAGTTAGCTGCTAACTGCTAACAGCCGCTGATCTTCTTCTTTGAGTTAGCTGCTAACTACTAACAGCTGCTGTTCTTCTTTGAGTTAGACCTTAACAGCTAATAGTCGCTGATCTTCTTCTTTTAGTTAGCCGCTAACTGCGAACCAGAGGCGATTGTTCTAAGACTGCAAGGGAAGCTCAGCTTCCTCTAAAATGTCAAAAAATAAGTGGTCAAATATGTACTGTTGTGTTTACATTTCATTGACTAAATATGTGCTAGAACGTGTTCAACTTTTGTTCAGAGTCAGCTACTTATCACAGGTCACTGACACGACTTTCTTCTCATTCATTCCCGTAGCGTCACAGTGCATTAAACAGTGGAAGCTCAGCGTCCAAAGACTTCAATGGGGAAGCATAGAGTGGGTTGTTCCACTGCAGCAAAACTAGACAGTCATTGGATAAATGCTCAGTTTTGTCCCGCCCATCGGACGCTCAGTATCTCTGGGGGTCTATGGGGCAGTGGGCTGGCCTCGGCTGGCCTGGACGCTGGGCTTCTGCATGATGATTGGATGATCTGTCTGAGGCTGAATCCCTTTTTGATTGACAGCGAAATGAGCGAATCAGCGATCTTGAAATATAAACCACCACCGGAGCATTTTTCAAGTTTCATTCTGTTGTTCCGAGTTGATCTGGAGACTTTTCCAATCCTCTTAGTGACTTTTTCTTTGTTAAAAATGACTAGCGACAAATCTAGCATCTTTTTCTGGTGTTATTGGAGACTGTACTCGTGTTTGGAGACTCTGACTTCTGTTGCTCTGCAGTTACTGTCCCCAACGAGCAGCGAGTGCTGCTGTGAGCCCCTCCACCGTCCCAAAGAATGCACAGGTGGTCACACTAGCCTCGTGCAGCAGCCCCAGAGGGTAGAATTTACGTATAAATAAACGGACACATTTTATGATGTAGGCCGAAAATGAGCTTCCCATCCTTGAAAGACCAGCAGCCTCCACTGCTGCGAACAGCTATTGTTCTTCTTCTATGAGTTAGCCACTAATTGCTAACAGCTGCTGTTACGTCCTCTGCTGTTGTTTTAAAGGTGAGTCATCTGTGTCTGTCCCTCTCTGAGATCGCACCTTACAGGTCGTAGTGACAGGTGTGGAGTCACATGAGTGTCATACCTGAAGTGTTGGAGATCCCGGTGTGAAGATCTGACATCCCGTCAAAGTCTCTGAGGAACAAACACACAAACTGGTTACACCGCTGTGTGTGTGTGTGTGTGTGTGTGTGTGTGTGTGTGTGTACTTACCTGGTGAGGTTGTTGTGTGCAGGTGCGACCAGCAGGCAGCAGGACGTCTTGTGTCCATTAGTGAAGGGGGACGGGAGGCTGACTGGCGCCTCCTGCAGTCTGCTCCCCCTCAGCTCCTCCCCACAGCTCGGACACTCCTCCGGCACCGAGAAACAGAAGATCTCCTTCTGACAATGACTCAGCCGGATCACACTGACATCCATCTCCTCCTCTGTCTGCTCCTCAGCTCCTCCGCCTGGTCCTCAGCTCCTCCACCTGGTCCTCAGTTCCTCCTCTGTCTGCTCCTCTCAGCTCCTCTGCCTGCTCCTCAGCTCCTCCTCTGTCTGCTCCTCAGCTCCTTCTCAGTCTTCTCCTCAGCTCCTTCTCTGTCTGTTCCTCAGCTCCTCCTCTAACTCCTCAGATATACCGTTCCTCCTTTCTTCTCCTCTTTTTACCCTTCTTTGACTTGCTTTCTTCTCCTCCCCTTGTCTTGTCTGTCTCCTCCTCTCGCCTCCTGCGTGACACACCTGGTCTCTAGGTTACAGCCTATCAGATGACATCACTCCCCAGCTCTGGCCTATCAGGTTGCAGTTGCTGTGGGACAGACAATCATGTGACCTGGCTCACTTCAGTCTGAACAGGTGAACTTTGGACTGTGTTGGCAGCGTTGTCATGGAAACAGTGGCTGACCTGCAGGGCGGCTTCACAGAAGCAGACATGCAGACAAACTAACAACATCAAAGTTTAAAGACTCTGAGCTCTGATTGGTCGATCAGACTTAATGTAGGTCAACATGTGTGTGTGAGGGAACAGCTGACAGCCAATCAGAGGAGAGGACTGAGGGGACATGATGAAAGACATCTGACACACATACAGACAGACAGACATTACATACAGACAATTATGTTAGTTCAGTCAAATAGTGTTTTACCTTCTGTGTTGATCTGACTTAATAAATGAGACTCAAGACAGCGCACATCGTTCGAGTGAACGTTTACTTTGGTTCTTCAGCATTACATCCAAGAGTGCAACAACAATAATAGTCCGGGTAGGAACATATGTGTACTAACTGCAGGAGAGTCTGTACGTCACTATATTACAAGTCACAGTAAGGTCATATTAAGGTCATACATGGGATTTATATCTGGTTATTTGCAGGAACCGATGAGTTCAGCACTGTTCATTAACTTAGCTATATGACATATGAATATGACAGCAGCAATAGTTGAACGTTTCCATGGCAACGAGTAAAACAGACGAGGGCTGTCTATCAGCTGCTGCAGTCTCTGCCCTTAGACGCTACGTGATGACGGTAAATACGTCACACTACGTACAACTGAAGTCTGCCAGGGCTCAGTCCTCAGGTCCAGAGGGTGGACATTTAGATTCAGCCTCCGTGTCCACACTGTCTGAGGACAGCTGCAAGACTCACCGACAGTAACAAGAAAACGTTTGTGACTCAGGACACGCTCCCAGTGACGTCAGCTGATCGTAGGAACGTTCGTGCTGTGATTGCTGTTTTCTGTCGGACCGTTTTAAACGGGACACCAACAAGACAACTTGGAAGCAGCTCCGTTTGTAGCTCCGCGAGGAAGATGAGCACCAAACAGGTGACCTGCAGGTGAGTCTGTCTGTCTGTCAGTCACCTGTCTGTTTGTCTGTCACCTGTCTGTCCGTTAGTGTCGGGCGCTCTGTCTGTGTGACGCGCTAGCCTCGTGCTAATGTTTTTAGCTGTTAGCTGTTAGCTAGTGCTCCGTTTGAAGTTAAAACTCAGACTAACGAACATTACGTGACTGATCCGTCTGCTGCAGGTTAAACACGTCACAAACAAACATAGTCCGGTAACCGGTGACGTTATGACGTCACAGGAACGGAGTTCGTAAAGGCCCGTCAGCACATTTCAGACACAAAACAGTTCAACCTGTTTACATAAACATTAGGCTAACAAACAAACAGAAAACAAGAGATCAAACCAAACAAAGAAGCTTGCAAACATCAACAATCTGATCAGCTGTGTCCTCGTGACGTCAGAGTGATACGTTCAGGTCTACGGAGGACATAACACTGTGACGTTAGACTAAATGTTTCTCAGGTCAGGGTCCAGGCTCAGACCTGCGGCGCTAAACCATTGAAAGTAGAAACAGACCTGTGATGCTGACAAGTGCTCTCAAGTCTGTAGGACCCACAGGGAGTCGTCTGAGCATGACCATGATAACACGTGTTAAACTGGTGTCTGATCTTCTGTGGATCTATTAATGGTTCTGTTCATGGTCCTGTTCATGTATCTATTCATGGTTCTGTTCATGGTTCTGTTCATGGATCTATTCATGGTTCTGTTCATGGATCTATTCATGGTTCTGTTCATGGTTCTGTTCATGGTTCTGTTCATGGATCTGTTCATGGTTCTGTTCATGGATCTATTCATGGTTCTGTTCATGGTTCTGTTCATGGTTTTGTTCATGGTTCTGTTCATGGATCTGTTCATGGTTTTGTTCATGGATCTGTTCATGGTTTTGTTCATGGTTCTGTTCATGGATCTGTTCATGGTTTTGTTCATGGATCTATTCATGGTTCTGTTCATGGATCTGTTCATGGATCTGTTCATGGATCTGTTCATGGTTCTGTTCATGGATCTATTCATGGTTCTGTTCATGGTTCTGTTCATGGTTCTGTTCATGGTTCTGTTCATGGTTCTGTTCATGGTTCTGTTCATGGTTCTGTTCATGGTTCTGTTCATGGTTCTGTTCATGGTTCTGTTCATGGTTCTGTTCATGGTTCTGTTCATGGTTCTGTTCATGGTTCTGTTCATGGTTCTGTTCATGGTTTTGTTCATGGTTCTGTTCATGGTTCTGTTCATGGTTTTGTTCATGGATCTGTTCATGGTTCTGTTCATGGTTCTGTTCATGGTTCTGTTCATGGTTCTGTTCATGGTTCTGTTCATGGTTCTGTTCATGGTTCTGTTCATGGTTCTGTTCATGGTTCTGTTCATGGTTCTGTTCATGGTTCTGTTCATGGTTCTGTTCATGGTTCTGTTCATGGTTCTGTTCATGGTTCTGTTCATGGTTCTGTTCATGGTTCTGTTCATGGTTCTGTTCATGGTTCTGTTCATGGTTCTGTTCATGGTTCTGTTCATGGTTCTGTTCATGGTTCTGTTCATGGTTCTGTTCATGGTTCTGTTCATGGTTCTGTTCATGGTTCTGTTCATGGTTCTGTTCATGGTTCTGTTCATGGTTTTGTTCATGGTTCTGTTCATGGATCTGTTCATGGTTTTGTTCATGGATCTGTTCATGGTTTTGTTCATGGTTCTGTTCATGGATCTGTTCATGGTTTTGTTCATGGATCTATTCATGGTTCTGTTCATGGATCTGTTCATGGATCTGTTCATGGATCTGTTCATGGATCTATTCATGGTTCTGTTCATGGATCTGTTCATGGATCTGTTCATGGATCTGTTCATGGTTTTGTTCATGGATCTGTTCATGGTTCTGTTCATGGATCTATTCATGGTTCTGTTCATGGATCTGTTCATGGATCTATTCATGGTTCTGTTCATGGTTCTGTTCATGGTTTTGTTCATGGTTCTGTTCATGGTTTTGTTCATGGATCTATTCATGGTTCTGTTCATGGTTTTGTTCATGGTTCTGTTCATGGTTTTGTTCATGGATCTGTTCATGGATCTGTTCATGGATCTGTTCATGGTTCTGTTCATGGTTCTGTTGTGTGTTGAAAATGTATTTAAAAGTTAAATAAAATCCCAAATCTGAAAACTTTATTAACAAACCACAGACTGTGTCTGAAACATGTTGAGCTGAGGTTAGAGAGTGTCAGGTGAGCGTTACCTGTCAGTATCAGGTGGATGTTACCTGTCAGTATCAGGTGAGCGTTACCTGTCAGTGTTAGGTGGATGTTACCTGTCAGTGTCAGGTGAGCGTTACCTGTCAGTGTCAGGTGGGTGTTACCTGTCAGTATCAGGTGAGCGTTACCTGTCAGTGTCAGGTGAGTGTTACCTGCCAGTGTCAGGTGAGCGTTACCTGTCAGTGTCAGGTGGGTGTTACCTGTCAGTATCAGGTGGGTGTTACCTGTCAGTGTCAGGTGGGCGTTACCTGTCAGTGTCAGGTGAGTGTTATCTGTCAGTGTCAGGTGGGTGTTACCTGTCAGTATCAGGTGAGTGTTACTTGCCAGTGTGAGATGAGTGTTACCTGTCAGTATCAGGTGAGTGTTACCTGTCGGTGTCAGGTGGGTGTTACCGGTCAGTATCAGGTGAGTGTTACCTGCCAGTGTGAGGTGAGTGTTACCTGTTAGTGTCAGGTGGGTGTTACCTGTCAGTGTCAGGTGAGTATTACCTGTCAGTGTCAGGTGAGTGTTACCTGTCAGTATCAGGTGAGTGTTACCTGTTGGTGTCAGGTGGGTGTTACCGGTCAGTATCAGGTGAGTGTTACCTGTTAGTGTCAGCTAAGTGTTACCTGTCAGTATCAGGTGAGTCACATTAAATTTAATAGTTTGACATGGTTATTCACGTTAGTTTTCCTTTCATTTTCTGAGATGGCAAACAAGATGTCCACTCATATTTATGAGGTACATGGGACGAAATTGCCGTTTGCCGGTGTAAATATTTTCAACACGTCCGCTCTCGGGTCATCATCATCATGAGTGACTTCAGTATCAGCTGTTATAGCAGACGTTCGATTACAGGAGCATCTGTAGTATGGGGCTGTACCCAAATATTCGGATATTCGAATATTCGTTTCTATGGGTAGGTATTTGTTATGAAAATTTGGTACTCGATATTAGTTTTTTTATTTACTTTAAAAAAAAAAAAAAATTGAAACTTTTTTTGGTGCTAAATGTAGTCTTTTTGTTGTTGGTAAATGTAGGTTATCAATAAAAATCAAAACTTTTAAATTGCATTGTTAAAAATGTGAAAATATAGTTTTTCTTATCAATTGAGCTTGTGTTCATTGTATTCTTGAGCTCTTCTTTCTGAGGCTGTGGATCATTGCCAAGTTTTACCACTTTATCACTATTCCCTCTAAGGGCAATTCCATGCAAATGTCAACCTCACCATGAAAAAATAAAGTAGCCATATTTATAACAAAACCCATTTAAAATGTATCATCAAGGTCTATATTTTGAAGTTCAAAATACATTTGATCACAATATTCATGCAAATACATGTTTTTCCTCACTACAATGAGGAGACACAATAATGTAAAAATGTATTTTTCAGTGAACAAAATTGTATGACTTTCTGAATGGCCAGAATGCAGGGCACGACAGTGCGAGCGTTTCACTTGCATTTGCGACTAAAAATAGGTGTGTGCGAACTGTAGTAAATATTTAGGGGCACATGTGCGCATAAAAAAAATCAGCCGAAGGAGCCTATATTTTTGTCAATAAAAAAATATGATAATCTAACCGCAAATGTTGGAGGAACTCCAGCCGCCTTCCCTCTTCCCCGTGTGACACGGTTATGGGCGGTTTTCCAAGCCACTGTCAGCATAATGAATATAACGGCCGG